GTCAGTCGGGAGTCATTCATTCAGGAGAGGTCAGTCGGGAGTCATTCATTTTCATTCTTTCACGGACTCACTCACTCCTGCTCACAAGACGCCTGCACAGCATCTCCCTACAAAGCTTGCTAAAGATTTACCCTCCTACAAGAATTGTTTCTCTCCCTCAAAGATGGATAACCCTCAGGCACCTAAGAGGAGTTGATCCCGAGCAAGGAAGCACAGCGATCAGCGGTCTGCATCCAGACAGTTAGATAAGCCGGGGCCAGAGACCTGTCCAGTCCCGGGCCCCGACAAAAACAGTACTAATTCTCTTACTCTAGTTTTCAAAACCATGATAAATATTGAGTAAATAACAAAATTTATCTAATATCTCTAGGATTAAAAACTGTTGAATCTTACCTGGCCTTATTCCCTTCTCTAGGCCTACGGACTATAGCAGAAGAGACAGCCCTGTTAAGTTCCAAGGGTCAATTTCAAGGGACGAAACTAGCAAGTGTCTGGTTCCCTTGTCTTTCTCCTTAATTTTCCAACCCCACCTGGCTCCTCAAACTGTCTTAAAGAGACCCCAACACGTACCGCCTAGAAACTAAACTTTACTCAAAGTCTCCCAGGACAGACCAGATCCACATCAACCTAAAAGCAATCCTTTTAATTCTTACTTTTTTTCACCACTACGGCTGAACTTCTACAAATCCTGTTCTAGATTCAACCGTCTGGACTCTGGAAACCCACAGACGCTCCAGAGCTTGCTTCCACCCAAAGCAAATTCCCTAGAAGCCCAACCCATCATAGACTCCAGACTCCAACCCACTCCACAAAAACTTTTAAACTAGGTGGCACCTGTGGCTCAAAGGAGTAGGGCGCCAGCCCCATATGCCAGAGGTGGCGGGTTCAAATCCAGCTCTGGCCAAAAAACTGCAAAAAAAAAAAAAAAAACTTTAAAACTGTGAATTTTAATATGCTGTAAGACATCTTACTCTTCTTGTCCTTTTTCTCATACTTTCTACCTAACTCACATCCTAGATCTACCCCCTTTACTCATACTGAGAAAAAATTGTTGTTTCTTCATTAACCAATTGAAGACGATACAAACTGACATTAACCTTACACTTCACAAACAGGCAGCTCCTAGAGAATTTGACTTGTGCTATTTAAAATCCATGTACCGTCCTAGTTCACTTAGCCTCTCTCTGAGGTCCCTGGATTCCTACTTTGAGTTCTCACTTTGGAACCTTACATTTTTACTGCCTAATAACATTCATACAGAACCAAATTCAGGCCCTAGCAAATTCTCTCCAGTGAAACCCCTTCCCACCTCTAACCTGACTTTGAGGACCATCTGCTTTCAATCCCTCCTTCTAATGACCCAAATGAGCTCTAACAGGCAGGAACATCACTCCTTCCATATTCCGCAGGAAGCATTTGAGCTCATTCCAAAAAGAGGGAAATGTAAGGAAACTTAGTTTTTATAATGAAATAACAGAAAATTATTAACTCTCTCGGCCTACTTTCTTTCTCTTGTCAGCAGCCTCCCAGCCCTGCAGATTCCTGTTTTCACAGACCATTCAGGGACCCAACTGACAAAGAAGAAATGTAAATTCTCTTCACATTTCCCAACTCCTTTCACTTTTAAAATCTGTTCCTTAGGCAGGTGTGGTGGCTCACACCTGTAATCCTAGCACTCTGGGAGGCCCAGGCCAGTGGATTGCTTGAGATCACAAGTTTGAGACCAGCCTAAGCAAAAAGCAAGACCCTCATCTCCACTAATAAAATAGAAAAACTGAGGCAAGAGGATCACTTGAGCCCAAGAGTTGGAGGTTGCTGTGAGCTAAGACGCCACAGCACTCTACCCAGGGTGACAGCTTAAGACTCTGTCTCAAAGACAAATAAAATCTGTTCCTTAAACTTCAAGTAATTCCTGAACATCCAGGATGGATGAATAGTCATCCCGAAAAATTAGACACACCTGAAATATATCAGTCTTCAATCCTACCTAAAGAAGCAGAGGGGGCGGTGCCTGTGGCTCAAAGGGGTAGGGCGCCGGCCCCATATGCCGGAGGTGGTAGGTTCAAACCCATCCCCGGCCAAAAAAAAGAAGCAGAGGCAGGATCCACATTCACGGTGCCTTGTGAATTCAGCTACAATCACCCTTCTCTACTTTCCCCCTAAATTCAGCTGCCCCTGACCCTCAGGACTGACATTCTACCTTTCTTTTTGTAAAATCCCCCTCCTTTAGCTGGGCGTTGTGGCAGGCGCCTGTAGTCCCAGCTACTCAGGAGGCTGAGGCAAGAGAATCACCTAAGCCCAGGAGTTGAAGGTTACTGTGAGCTGTGTGACACCACAGCACTCTACTGAGGGCGATAGGGCGATACAGTGAGACTCTGTCACTACAAAAAAAAAAAAAAAAACCCTCCTTTCTCTCCCCCATCCTCCTTTCTCTCACTCCCTGCTCTCCTCTCTCTTTCTCATCTCTTCCTCTCACTCTCATCAATGCCTACACCCCAAACTAGAACTCCCCTCCGGCCAAGACAGGCTACTGTCCAATCTTCATCCTCCCTTAAATTGAAAGCACTGGAGAAACTCAAGCCTTTTGCCTTTTTATCCCCATACCCGCTGACGACCTCACTGACCACCAAACCCAAACCAAGTTCCACTACTTTCCTAAAACACAGTGTTACAGCCCCACCTAGACAACCTCTCCCCAGAGCAATTCTCGCAGGCACCCTTCCCCGCTAGGCATTAAAAGTGCCCCCCCCCAAATACACAGAAACTCAAGAATTGCTCCTTTCCTTCAGCTTTTCTACTTGCCTTGATGACACCAACGTCTTTTTCCTCTGCAGAGTCTGTGCCTCCCAAAACACTGGACCAGCACCTGCACACTGGTCCTGCTTTCCCCTGATCTATCCCTCCTCCCAGGCAATGAGCAAATTCCAGTCCGTCCTCACACTCTACCAAGAGCTAACCCACCATCCCACTAATCCCTCTCCTAGGAGGACCAGGCACCATGCAGGGGTTTCTACTAGAACTGCTGGGGTTTCCACAGCTACCCAGAAGTTCCAAATAACATCCACCCAACTGGCCAGGAGCCTCCAGGAAGAATCTGATCAGTTAGTTCCAAGTCATCCAAGACCAGGTAGACTCCCTGGTACCAGCAGTTCTCCAAAATCATAGAAGCTTGGATTCGCTCACAGCGAGGGAAGGGAAACACTGCACTTTCTTACAGGAGACTTGCTATTTCCAGACTAGCAAGTCTGGCCAGGTCCGAGAGGGCATCACCTGATTCTGGGAACAAGCCACCCACCTACCCTCTCAAAATGAGAGATCCTGGTTTAACAGCCCATGGGGACGCAGGATAAAAAAGGTATGAGCTGCAGTTGTAATCCAACTGCTACCACTCCTCTCTCCCTCTCCAATGTAGCCCCAACCCGTGCAGCCCTACTAACACCTGACTCATCCCACTGAGGACAACTCCGACCCTATCCAGTGAGAAGCAGATCTGGGAGACTGACCTTCAACCCCATCAGCCCTCGTAACAAGAGTTCGGAATATTACCGGCCTTCCCCCACTTCCCCTACTTCTCCCACTTCCCTTACTTCCCTTCCGAGAACCTTTGAAGGGAAATCCTTGAAGCTGTCTGACCCATGGGGCCCCTGCCTTCTCACACCATCCTGTGCCAAACTCAGAGGCACTCTGGCCCTCCACTTCCAGAGGGGGCTGCCAGGCCTAAAACTCTGCCCAGCTGCTTCTTCTGACTGCTATTGTCTCTGCTGCAGGGTGATGGCTGTGCTGTTGGGGTTAGTGTTTCCTGACCCCTCCTCTGTCTTCCTGTCCCTTACTTCCTCACCCATTGTCCACGCTGAACAGTCCCTGCGATTAGTGGTTCCCTCCCAGCAGGAAAATACCCACGTGTTCCGTGCCTGCCTCCTGCTGGGAGGAGCACCCAAGTCTGCAGCCAAAGGCAGAGCCCCGCCCCAGGGAAACGCCAGGCCCACAGAGCCCTGCAATGCTGTGGGGGAGGAGCCGACCTGCCAGCAGCCCCGTGCTTCCTTTCCCCTACTCCTTCCGCTTACAGATCCTGCAGTCAGTCTGAGGATGGCCTCTGTCACATGAGTCCCCATCTCCTCAGGTTGCAGGCTCTTGAATACACCTGTTTTTCCTGCCACCAGCCCTCCTTTCCAGTTGGGCTTTCCCGAGTGGCCAGCAGCCCACCCTGCTTTGGACAGCAATGGACCAGGGTCAGCCCCCCCCTCCCCCAGCCCCTGCGCCCTCCTCCCAGTGCCAATATCCAGTCCCCAAAACTGACCAAACCCAGAAGTTTCTCCTGGTCATGCCCTCATCAATCTCCCAGCACTGACCTGGGTAACCTTGTCCCTGCCTCTGTGACCCCCATCGCTCCCAGACTCACTCTGCCTCCTGTCCCCATCAACCACATCCAGCCTAGGCCCCACAAAGGGCTTCCCACAGGGACATCTGGCCAGGACATTCCTCTGGTCTCAGGATGCAGGATGCCCATGGCAATTGCAGGCCATTCCTGACCAACCTCCTCCTCCTCACCCTCTCTGGGGTCTGCTCCCCCAGCCAAAGAGGCACTGGGGCCCCCCGCCCCCCAGTGCTGGCTCTGGCCTCTGTGGCCTTCACATCCAGCTCTCTCTGCCCCCAGCACTTCCCTAGACCCGGCTACTCCTCCTCTCATCCCGGACACCCCGCCAAAGGGGGGCCGATATGACAGCCCCAGCCTGGCTCAGCTGCCCCTCTCTGGCCCCTCCATGTCACCCCATCACCTCCCCCACCTCCATGTCACACCTAGGACAGCCCTCTGGACCCAGAAAGAACACGGTCACTTAGCCGTGAATTCATAATCTCCCACAGAAAACAGACTTTGGATTTTTTTATATAAGCTTTGAAACAGAAGATCCCCCTTCCCCAGACTAGGGAGCCAGACTGAGTCCTTCTGATGAGGACTTGACAACCTGTAGATGTTCCCTGATAAATCAGGAGGCTCTTACCCTAGTCCTCTTGAAGGGGTAGCCCGGCATATCTGTGTGTGCTCATCCCTGCCCAGACAGCAGTCTCCCAACCAACTTCTGAGAATTTTACTTTCGATTTCGCACTCCACTCTCAGAACCAATCATTTTCTACATAGCATTGAACGACAAAACAAAGCCTGCCAGGGTGATCCCAGCGTTAAGCACTTGGACCATCTCACCTAGAAACAGGAAGGGAGATGGTGGCCCTGAGTCCTGTGAGCCAGCCTCACGGAAGGAGCCCTCCTGACCTGCAGAAGGGTTGTCAATGGAAAAGAAGCCAAACCATAAAATCATTTACAGAGTTTAATAGTGAGCCAGATTTGGGGACCGTGGCCTGGAGCCACACCCAGAAGCCCTGAGTAAGAGGACTTGCTCTGGCTGGGTTACAGTTTGGTTTTAGACATTTCAAGGAGACAGGAATTTCAGATAAAGTCATAAATCAATACATAGAAAGCACACATTGGTTTGGCCAAAAAAGCAGGACATGTCCAGGTGGGACTTACAGGTGATAGGTGGGTTTAGGGTAGGGTGACCAGATTTTAACATAGGTAAGGTGGGACAACATGGGGGGGGGGCGTGGGGCGGGGTCGGGGGCAGGGGATGGGGCAGGGCAGGGCCTGACAAC